CCCATAGCACTGTTTAAGCTTAAAACTAAAGGATGTGAGATGTGGAGGGAAGAGATTCCTAACTGATCCATGAAGCTCAAATAAGATGAGGGAAATTTATTGCTTTAAGTCACTATAGTGAAAATCACATAACAGCGCCTGACACAGTGGGAATTCAATAAAAGGGAACTATAATTAATTATGCCACAAGGGTGTCACAATGCTCCAAGAAGTCACCATGACTTCTTTTCCTGAATAATGCTATTTTATCTTCTTTTATCCTTGTGAAGTGTTCAAGTGGGTATCATAAAAATAGAAGATGAATTACTAACATCATTTTGGGTAGCCAGAGTACTTCTCGATTACCAACAATTTTATACACTTACTAGAAACAATATAATTTTATAACATTGGGTCGCAGCTACACTATATCATATAACAGACATGACTACTTTTTCTAAAGCAATTATTCTTTTTTTTAATTGAACAGATAGTTTCAAAGCTTTCATGTTTGAGATTCAGCTATACAATGATCAAACACCCATCTCTCCACCAGTGCAAACTTTCCAATGTCCCCATTGTCCCCCTCCTCCACCCACACCCATCTCAGTCCTCACCCTGCCTCTATGGCAGACAGTTTCTCAGATACTCTCTCTCTCTACTTTTGAGCATTATACTTTGCTCAAATTTTCCCACCACCATCCAAGGCTGCCCGCTAGGGGCAGATGCTAAATCATTTATTTTCCATTAATCATTTTGTATACATGAGAGGTCACATGGCCGCTTACGTGGCCACACTTCTGAAATTCTAAGATTGTAAATGGTTGGGTTCCAGAACCAACTGGTTTTTTTTGTTTGTTTGTTTTTGCTTTTTAAGTCACAACCAGTGATGCACAGGGGTTACTCCTGGTTCATGCACTCAGGAATTACTCCTGGCCATGCTCGGGGGACCATATGGTATGCTGGGAATCGAAGCCAGGTCAGCTGCATGCAAGCCAAACACCCTACCTACTGTGCTATCACTCCAGCCCCCAGAGACATATTTGTAGGGAGCTAATTCATTTTGGGATTCAATTGGGAGTTTCTAGACCTGGGCTGTTGGTGCACCAAGATGGTGCCCGGAGGAAGGTTGTGGGTGTGACATCTGGCACCAGGAGCAGAAGGAGAGCCAGAGTGGGACTGCCCAGCTCCACTGCCACCACGCAGCTCAGAGACTTAGTTCTGGAGCCCACATACCTGGGCCTTGCTTGTGTAAGCTCATGGTCACCAGGATTCCATCTGGAGTAAGCGGGGAGACGGCACCTGCTCCATCTGGGGTCTCCCCGTGAAATTGGCTTGGTATGGGGCCTGGAGGAATCTCCAGCACTGTGGTGCCCTCCGGGACTCACTGCTGCTGTGTCTCTGGGCTGGGCTGTTGGTGCACCAAGATCCAAAGCAGTTATTCTTAATGGAGATATAGGCACTTAAGAAGTCTGGACACAGTAATAGGATACAGATGGGACTTTTGAAGAAAAAGTTAATAACTATGGTAAACAGAAGTGTTGAGGATGTTGTTTGGCTTGGTGCTTAACATCTGTCAAAAAAGCATCATTTACATATTAGATGAAGGTGTCTGCAGAAAGAAACACCAGTTAACTTTATAAAACTGAATAAGATTTATTCGATGGTAAAAGAGAGCAACTGTCTTCTAGGTATGTGTCCACATGTTTGATTCCCATTATCACCCTACATGGACTGAATATGATCCCATTAGCACCAATACAGATTGAGGTATCTTTCATGCACCACAACCAAGTGTGAGAAAGCACCACAAAGTGTGCAACCCTTAGCCAGCATTGCAATTAAGTGTGCAAACAACAGAATCAAGTGTGCAATTCTAAGTCACTATAACAACAACAGAAGTGGAGAGAAAAATAAAAAGGACATTTTAGGGGAAAAGAGATTCATTCTTTTTTATAGTGTCCATTTACATTTGAAATCATGAAATAAGCTTATAAAGTTAAACGCACTCATTGGAAAAGTCCACCCAACAGTTTACCATATTTCTAACCACTGCCCCAAATCAACCCCTATTAGCTGAAAAAATAAAAGACTATAAAAGAGAACCCAGAATTTGACAATAAGAAAACAGCAAGAGCAAGAGAATAAAGAGGTAATGAAAAGACAATCAATCATCAATAGGCTGTTTCTATTAAGATTATATCCACACAGAATATTTTCTGCCTCATTCTTGCTTCCTTCCACTGGGTCTGTTGATAGGTTTATTTCTGACAGAATCCAGTCAGGAAAACAGAAACCACACTAAAAATTTTTAAAGAAATATCAAAAGAAATTAGCCAACATTTGGAGAACAAAAAGAGCAATGAGAAAACATGGTACCCCAGAGATATAACTGCGGGCTGAACCACACCCCAAGGTTGAAGGAACAAAGGGAAGAGACTCTCATAATCTAAAAGCTTAAAGGAGAAGCTTTGCAGAGTTAGTTTCAACCATCCCACCACCACATGAGCCTCAAAAGGGCACAACATCCCTCGTTAAGTGTGTGTTAATAGCACTGGTGGTACAGTGATGTGTCTAGCTCCCTTGCAGAATACTTCAATAAAATGCTGGAACCTTGAACTAAGGGCTGTCAGTGGACAAGAGCTCCACTTCTGAAGCAGGGCTACTGAAACAGGAAGCAAACAGGAAGCAACATGACCCTTACTTCCTCCAGTTCTACAGCCACCCCATCTAGCACCCCATCATGGTAGAGCTGAAAGGGGTACTAGCTGGCAAAAGAAATGCTACCTGGGGTCTGACTGATAGTACAAGGGGTAGGGCATCTGGGTTCAATCCCCAGCATCCCATATGATCCGAGGAACAACACCAGGAGTAATTCCTGCGTGCAAAGACAGGAGTAACCACTGAGCAATACTGAGTGTGAAACAAATTTAAAAAAAAATTCAAAAAGAAATGCTATCTGCAGAGTTCCAGCAGTGTGTGGAAAAGGAGGTGTGGGACTGAAAGACAACAGCAAGACAACACACACACTACACATGTAAAAAACAAAATGATCCGGGGGCTGGAGCAATAGCACAGCGGGTAGGGCATTTGCCTTGCACGCAGCCGACCTAGGTTTGATTCCCAGCATCCCATATGGTCCCCCGAGCACCGCCAGGAGTAATTCCTGAGTCCATGAACCAGGAGTAACTACTGTGCATCTCTGGGTTTGACCCAAAAAGGAAAAAAAAAACTGATCCATGTATGACTCTCACAACAAATTTGCTTCAAAATACTTCAGATAGGGTCAGAAGTAGCAGCAGAGTAATCCACAGTCATCAGAGTACAGTCATACTCTCTCTCTCTCTCTCTCTCTCTCACACACACACACACACACACACACACACACAAAGGTGTAGGACCTTTTTTCTCACACCTTCGAGAAGCATTTTCAGAGACTGCTATTAGTGTCCTAATTGCTCTTACCTATGAAAAATGGGCTCCTTCAAAGCCATGTGCAGGCCTGCTTAAAATAATAAGCTTTTCTAACCCCCAGAGCACAACATACTCCGGGAGCATGGTCTGGATGCTTATCAAACAAGTTCCTGGGCCATTCTCTGAAGTTTCTGGGCAAGTACAAACAACAGAGTCAAATAAATGTCTTTTAAAAGCAAGGCAATGGAGCACGTACCCTGTCAGTGAGATCCTCATATCCCCACAGAGTAAACAGTAACATGAGAATATTTATACTAAACAAAACTGTGTATCATGCCTGCTTTGGCTCAGCCAGAGGGAATGATAAATTCCTTGCAGATCTCTCAAAGAGTGGTCCTTTGTGGACGGCGAACTCCACTTCCAAGACAGTACAAACCAATTATAGAGCAAGGCTTTTCATTATGTCAAGGAATGAAAATATTAACCCCCACCCCAAGTTTTGTTTTATTTTAGAGTTATGTTTTATTTAGCCCACCCCTCTCCCTTATGGTGAGGTCGTTTTTAATATATTTTGAGTCAAGATCAAATTTCAGTTGGAAACAAATGATAACTCACTCTTCTACCACCCTGCCCAGGCCCCTACTCTCCTCAACCCTGGAATCAAGCGTTTTTTGCTTTTCTTGTCCCTGGTCTAAGAAACTAAAATTAGAAAATTAAAGGTGGTGAGATCCCAGATGCTCAAGTCTTGATAGAATGTAGACTCTTATTTGTCCATATCAATTCTGTTCTGTTCACAACGGGCACATATCATGGGCAATGTCATCTGGCAGGAGATGGAGGTTAAACCAACTATGAAGCCATGCTCCATACGAGGTCCTTTGTGGTCCCAGGAAAGAACACACTATATGAAAACTTTCACAGATGTTCTGTTTCAAAGAGGTCAAGATGATAAAACATTAATAAGAATTAGGGTGTTTGAGAGTCCATTTCATCTGATTCTTTCAACACTAGTTGTTACAGATATATGTCCAAGACTTTCAACAGCCTATATATAGAAAAAAAATGACAAGTCCATGTATCTGTCCAAGCATTCTGCATCCTAAAACTATTGCAGATTCTCTAAAACAGTGTTTTTCAACTGCCTGGTTACTAGGATGCAGGTGTAAAAAGACTAAAAACCACCGAAGAACCCTGGAGCAACAAGGGAAAGGGGGAATGAGAAAAAAGATAACAGAAAAAGAAGGGGAATGAGTGGTAAGAGGTGTGGTGTGCTAGTATTAAAAAATACAACCAAAAGATAAAATCATTGCTCTAAAATAGATAGCTGGATGAAATACCAAATTGAGTATTTATTTTAAGCCATTAATTAAACCTCCTATATACTGCCAGATTCCATAATAATAGGTTAAAAAGTGGAAAAACAGAGGCTGAGGAAATGACTCGAAGACTGGAGCACATACTTTACATGTGGGAACCTCAAGTTCAAAACCCAGCACCACATGATCCACTGAGCACACAGTGAAAGTACCATCCACAGCAGTTGTGCCTCCCTGAAAATATTCAATAAACAAACAAACAAATAATGGATATTGACATTTTTCCAGCAGTTTATTTAAAACATAGAGGCATAGTAAAATTACCTTATTCAGAGGATTGTTTTCAGTTTGGGGAAGTTTTATAGATGTATTTGTAACTATTTGACTCTGATAAACTATAATACCAAATGTTTCATTTTTAAGACTATAGCACAGTGGCATTATGTGTTCATATTTTTATACAACCATCATCCATTTCAAGAATTACTGTCCTTATAAATCTGGTGCTCTGTTTGTAAATAGGCCTTGTTTATTATCAGTAGTCTAGAATGCAATATGAACCTAGAAAGGTTAAAACAAGTAACACTAATGAATCAACTCCTTCTACAACCCCTAGAATAACTCGTAGGCCTCTTGATCCTTATCTTTTGTGCCATTTCTTCCCTTCCCTGCTCCCCTCCACTGCTGTTGTTAAGATGGTGTCTGTCTGTCACTCACAAACATACAACACACACAGTTTGGCTGCAGTGCTCACACATTTGGTTTCACTGGGGTACGCACTAGAGTTGCACACTTTAGTTATGATATTCAGGCATATTCTGGTGTAGTGGTCATAGGCAGGGTAGGGAGGGGTGAGACACTGTGCAGTTTACATGGACATGCTAAATTCCTACCCATAGTGCTTGTACACCATCATTAGTTCCATGGTTCCAAGGATCCAAGCATTACCCTTTTATAGTTGCAATGCTTGCACATAGAGGACTGCAGTACTCCTGAGATCACACATTCCATTGCCCTTGGAGGTCCCAGGGAGCCAAGATGCTAGAGCTGTGCTCAGTGCAAGCATCATGCTTTTATCCTCTCCTATCTTTCATGTTCAGGGTGGATCTCCAAAGCTGAAGCAAAGCTCCAGAAGAAGGCTGAAAAGGGTACTGATGATATATTTTTTGTGTCATAGCTCATAAGGTACTTTGGCTAAGTCCTCCAGCCCTGGGAGATGGGGGCAGAGGTGGAAAGAGTCCTGCATCATGGAGGGAACTGTCTTCCCTATTTTATAAATAATTGGACTACAGCTACATGGAAGGTAAGAGAGATGCTAAAAACTCAGGCTCTCTGACCACTGTCTAGTGCTCCTCCTATAAGACCATCTGTGCCTGAGCCAAAGTGATGGAATTTCTCAACTCTTATAGACAGAAAAATCCCCAGGTGTAAGCAGACAGCATTTTCTCTCTTTACAACAGCAACTAAAAAGTCCCTGTGACTAAAACTATACCCAGTCCATCAAATCTCCATCTTTCAAGTATTTATATTGATGACAAAAAGAAAACATCTATAGAAACATGATTCTGGAACCAAATTAATTCAATTATATTTGACAGTTGAATAGTGAAAAAACAAAAAATATCAGCTCACTACACACTATAAATTGAGTTCACTCTTTACTTTTAATTCCTTTAAATAAATTCACATTTTGTACTCTTATTAGAAAAGATCACAGCGTTTCTTACCAAATAAAAACTACAGAAAAATTCATTTCTTTGTGCTTCATAAAGTATCTTATACCAACTACTAAGGATTTATGTAAAACTGTCAAAATCAACAAGTAACTTCTTATAATTCACAAAAAGGCTACATAATTTTCTTTTTTAAAAAGTTATTCCATCAATATCTTGTTCTTTGTCCAAAAGCAATATATTCACTAAACCTCTTTATTTTCCATTTCCATTCCAAAAAATATAAACACAATGTCTTGTAGTCATCCCTACATAAACACTAAAGAACTATATTAATCTGACTTTTGGAAATATCTCCTAACTTAACAAAAGTCATCTGAAAAAATGGGAAGGCAGAAAAGGACCATCATACTTTAAAAGAGGAATTGTACCTTAATTTGCCTACTTTGTAGTCACTTATCAATATTGATAGGAGTTCACAACTGAAAATTAAAATCACTCAAAAACTAAATGAATAAAAAAGTTTGGAATAAAGAGTTTAAATAAAGCCCAAATTTAGTTTTGCTCTATTAATTTAATTTAATTTGCTCAATTAATTTAAGATGAATCAGCAATCATGGTCATTTTACCTAGCAGGTTCAGCTGGTAATGTACACAATGCCTAAACTTTTTAAAAACTATTTTTATTAAAATACCATGATTTACAAAGCTGTTCATAATGCAGATTTTTCAGGCATAAAATATTCCAACATCAATACCACCATGGCGTTACCTTCCCTCCACCAATGTTCCCAGTTTCCCTCCCAACCCCAAATCCTGTCCCTCTTAGCAGACAAATAACAAATTTACTTCATATTGTTTGCTCCAGCAAAGTGGCAAACGGAATTACCAGAAAAAAAGTCAATCTGTGATGTTTCATTGCTACATTTTATCCTATGTAGATAAAGATATTCAAATTACAATAACATCCAATGCTGATATAGTGACTAATTTTGATAAAGTGGGTTCTTGAAAAGTTTTAAAGATGATGGAAATATCATCGGGGAATTATCAATAATAAACACAAATAGGGAATCCTTCCAATTTTTCAATACACAGCAACAATGAAGTTCTCTATCTTTTTATCTTCAATGGTCAAAAGATAACTTTAACAATTGAATTTTTTCCTTAAGATTTCACTGAAGCCTTAGATTGCATTACATGAAAACACCTTCTCTTGTCTTCCAGAATTCCCCAATATTTTCCCTTATAGCATGTTCGGCACAGTTCTTGCACTCTTCAGGTGTAAATCCAATTAATGCTTTCCCTAACGTACTCAGTCCCTTCTCCCTTGCCAATTCTCTAACTCTGGTTTCTATATACTGGGGAGACACATAAGAAAAACGATTCCCAAGGACAGTGTAAACCATGTACTGAGAGTCTTTGTAGGTTTCTGCAGTGCTGTGAGCTTCAAAACTCTCTACATTGCAAGCTATCTCAATTTTCCCTTCATGAGGAAAAGCCATTGCTTGGACACCCTTCAAACCATTAACATTTGAGCCTCGGATGGCGCTAGCAATCTCCTTTCCCAAAGCCAAATCTTCAGAGTCTATTGTAACATTGCAGTTCATCACATAGGGGCTGGCACCAACACCTAAACCAATAATAAAAATAACATTAGTCAGGGCAGGAGAGACAGTGCAGCAGGTAAGGTGCCTGCCTTACACAAACCTATCCCTATTCCATCTCTGTGGCTCCATATGATTCCCCCAAGCCCTGCCAGGAGTGATCATTGAGTACAGAAACAGAAGAAAGCCCCGAGCACCACCAGGTTAGGCCCCCAAACCAAGAAAGTAATAGTAGTATTAGTCAAGCCAAGTAAAACTACAATCTCAGGATTCTATTTAGTATCCACTTTTAATCAAAGCAATTTCCTCGAGTTAGTCTTCTTTAAAAATAATACAAAAGAGCCAGAGACATAGCACAGACCTTAAGACTTCTATCTTACATGACTAGTTTGATCCACTGCACTCATATAGAAGCACCTCTGGAGTGAGCACTGATAAAGAGTGAGTCCTGAACACTGCTGGGTATGGTCTATCCCATCCCCAAATAATAATAAAAATAAAATAGTAATACAAATACTCATGGTCAAAAGGTTATACATATTTCCATAGATATTTTATATGAATATATATACACATATGAAAAGAGAGAAAAACGGATTACAGCTACATGGATTACAGCTGTAATATATTCTAAAAATAGCTGAAGGATGATTGTTTGCATGGGGCGGGGGAGCAGGACAGGGATTTGGGCCACACATGGCAGTGCTCAGGGGCTACTCCTGGCCCTGTGCTCAGGAATGATCCCTGGCAGTGGCCAGAGGGATCTTATGTGATGCTGGAAATTCAAACTGGAGTTGGAAAGATGCAAGACAAGTGCCTTAACACCATACTATGGACCCCTCCTGCCCTAGAAAGACTAGTAAGAAAGGCCAAAACTTTACAAAGTGTCAAGAGAGGAGGGTAAAAGCACCCTAATTGAGTATTAGTTATTAGAAGCAGCAAAACCCTCTTAGCCTCTCATTCATTTCCAGGAATATCTCCACAGGTATCTGAATTCAAGATCAAGAACACCCTGTGGCTGGGGCTTGCATCACAGCTGACCTGGGTTCAATTCCCAGCATCCTATATGGTCCACCGAGCACTGCCAGGAGAAATTCCTAAGTGCAGAGCCAGGTGTAACCCCTAAGCATCGCTGGGTGTGACCCCAAAACCAAAATAAATAAATAAATAAATAAATAATAAGGGACAGCCTATGTCCATCCCTTCTTCCCCAAACCAGTGGCTGTCATCACTGAGCTAGATCTAAGACCTCAAACTTCTTAAATTAAAAGGAGCATCCCATAGCCCCCTCTTTAGGAAAACAATCCCTCAGCACACTCCGCTGCCCCTGCAAATCAACCCGCTTTAAGCAACCACACAGAAACTATTGCCCCTCTGCACCTACATTCTGGGATATTTCAGCATCCTCCAGAGGGTGGTATCACAGTCTTTGGGAAACAAAGAGTCAGATTAACATGGAACTCCACCGAACCGACCCACAGATCCTGGTTAGAGAAGCAGGTCACTAAACAATGACAAGCAGCCTTAGTGTTCAGATGGGCAGAGGAATTCCTGAGTCTCCTGACAACAGGAGTTGGGCAAGGACTGGTGCCCTGGAGTAACCTTTGGGAAATACCTCCTCCTTCAATCCCCGGCTTGCCACCCTGGAGTCTGGGTCCTCTGCAGTCCAGAGGCAAATGGACCACTTTTCCTTGCCTTGGGGATGATGCAGCTTGTGTTACAGAAATATTCCCACTCTAATTATAGTTTACATTATAAGATGGACAACTTGGTTAAATTAGCATTGGTATAAAAAAGCTTAGGTTTGCAGTTTCCTCATTTGGGGGCAACCTTACATTTCTAAAAGCAAAACTGACTGGGGATTGAGGGGGGATAGAAGGCTGACCTCATCTTCAGTGTATGACAACTCCTTAGTTCCTATTTCAACCATATTTTACTGTCATTGCTCTTTCTCACTACTTTCAAACTTATTGCTCATGATGTCAGTAACCATCAGAGGTAGCCTTCTGCTTTCACGTTCCCCTAGACCGCGTGGTGGTTTGGGAGCTTTGTTGCCTAGCCTGAGTCCTCTCATACTAATAGATGCTTCACAGAAAATCAGCACACGGAAACCACATTGCTTTTTTCCCCCCACACATGTACATAATGAGATATTTCAATTCCCCAGGCTGGCCCTCTTCCTACTGGGAATTCTGCAGGGATGAATCAGATTACAGTATTTCTCCATAATGCTGATTTAAGAAAAATTAAATTTCCTAACAGTCAATACATCTCATTCTCATAATTTCATACCCCAATCACTTACTCTAAATATCTTTGAGAATTATATCAGTTTTAACATTTCACAGAGTACAACAGGAATTTTCTTTTGTCAATGCTAATGTTATTCATTAACAGAAAACATCGAAACACAGTTTCTCTTTCCTTCACCCCTCAAAAAGGTATGTTACAAATAGCCTTATTTCCGCAAACACAGGCTTTTTTTTTACTCAAGCCGTGGCAACATTTTTACCATTTCCAAAAAGACCTGGGCAACATTCAGATTTTACTTGAATATATACACATTGGGTTGCAGTCAGCACAGCTATTCAAAACATACATTGGGCCTATTGTACTTCACTATTCCAGAATTTTCAAATTAACATTCAAATATTCCCATTTAATTTATCAGTTTAGGGAAGCATCTCCTTGCATTGTTCATCGATTTGTTCGAGCGGGCCCAGTAATGACTCCATTGTGAGACTTGTTGTTACTGTGCTTGGCGTAGTGAATTTGCCGTGTGGGCGAGATACTCTTGGTAGCTTGCCGGGATTTTGTGACTTAGGGAAGCAAGTCACAAAAATAGTGGAAGTTCCTTACTATAAGCCTGAGGAGCTTTCTCACCAAAGAACCACAGCATGGACCATTCTAACCTCACAGTTATGAGACTTCCAAATCACCTACCAAACAAGATCCAAGTCACCTTTTAACATCAGATTCCCTATTACTGTTCCCTTGTTAGAAGTATTTCCGAACTTGATCATTCTTGCTAATAAGTGACTTTACTACCTGAGACAAATTATCCAATACCTTTTAAAATTTAGATATCATGTATTTACTTCCAGAGCACAAGATTTCATAAAGAATGTTCTTGTCTCAACACTGATTTACTTAATTAAAATGAAATCCTATCTTCAAAATTCCTTCAAAGTAATTCTTAATTGGGCCAGATTTGTAGCCTAGTGGTGGAGCAATTAACTTGCAAGTACGAGGCCCTGATCTTGGTACTATAAAAATAAATAAATAAATAATAGATAAATAAATAAATAAAAGAACAAAGTATACCTGAGTTATTTTTTTAGAAAAATTAAAATAAAATAACAAAGTAATATTTATATTCTCTTTTAAATAAAAGTTCTCTTAACAGAATAGTAAGTCTTCATATGTGCTTTGGTTATATGTATTGTGAATTCTTTTATACTTTTGTTAGACAGTAATTCTATTCCATTTTATGCTATCCTGATTCAAATCGTCACGAAACAGGGACTATTCCTGAGAGAAGTTTCTGAACTAATCAGCATAGTATCTTCCTCCCTGAGGGGTTATAAGAACTTGACTCATTTCTCCTTGGAAATAGAAGAGAGAGAGGGTAAGCGTGATTGAGAGTGTGAGTGACTGACAGACAGACAGAAGACGGAAAGACAGGAGAAAACTTTCACATTTCCTCCCCTTAATCCTCCTCAGTCCAACTCCAATAAGGTGGCCCAACTGCGAGGAGTCAAGGTCCTGTTTAAATTCAGCTGTCCTATTCAAAGCTGCATTTCCTATGCTAATTTAAACTTAGTAAGGATTCTTAAATAAGAGAGATAATTAATCCCAGAAAATTGTATTTCTAGTTAAATGTCATATAATTAAAGAAATTCCATTTTTCGCTCTAAAATTAGCAAACTGATGTGAAAGTTTGTTTCTCAGTTTGCGGTTTCGCTCTGCTCCTGCCTCCTGCAGATTGGCACTCGGCTGCTCTGGTGGCAGAATGAATCTCTTCGCTGCAAAGCTGAAATTCCAATTTTATTCCAACGCAACTGTCACAACGCCCTGAAGCAAGCTAAAAACAAGGAAAAAAATCTTTGGTATGATTTCACTTTCCATGTGTTCTTTAATGAAAAATTTATCATTCTAAATATTGGTGTTTACTCCTAGTTAAATGCTTTTTTTTATCAAAAGGAAAAAGAAACTGAGATTCAGTTGCTATTATTTCACAGGGAAATATAACAGGCCTGATGTTTTCCTGACAATTCTGTTATTTTCTTGTGTGGAAACACTGTATTTATCATATACTGTACGGCTGGTAATTCAGATATTGTAGAGACCTTATGGTGAACTGATATAGATGTAAACTCTTTATGCCAGATTGTTTAAGCAGAAAAAACCAAATGCACTTAATTAACATCTGATGTGTAGCTTTTGCAAACACAAATGCAATATTTGTGTTTGAGCACTGGCAGTAATGACTGTGAACTATGCTATTAATGTCTGGTTTAAAGATGCTTGTGGTAGGACCACGTCTGGAATAACACAAATAAAAAACTACATTTAGACAAAACAATAGTGAAGAGCCCATTAGAAAAATGGAAAAGTGGCACTCAGAAGAGACACATGTATTTTTTCCCACTTCAGATCAAAATTATTCTTCAGAAAAAGTTTCAGACACTATCATTCTCAATCAAAGGTGAAAGAGCCTATATATTTTTCTCCACAGAAAAACTTTCACTTTAAAGGGTTAGAAATTAGGGATGTTTTTAGAAAATCTGGTTCTTATCCTAAGCTATTCTTTGGTGATCAATATTAAGAAATGCACAAGGAAACAGTTGGAAGAGGAGAGAGGCTGAGGTGGGATTTTGAAATATTTGATGTTTTCAGAACTTCAAATTTGTGGATAACATTAGCTGGAATAAACATATTCTCTTGGTCCAATGTGCACCTCCCTCATTAAATATGCTTTGATTGAAAACCTGCTCTATGCCAGGAACCCCAAGTAGACTTCTGG